GGCATTATAAACACTATTTTTGCTGATTCCCCATTTAGGAAAGCATTATTAACGTTGAGCTGTTGTATTTTCCAATTTTGATGCATTGCAACAAATAGCATAACTCTGATTGTAGCTGCTTCAATAACCGATGAAAACGTATCGAAGTAATCAAGGCCAGGGGTTTGCTGAAACCCTTTAGCCACAAGTCTAGCCTTGTACTTCTGAAGAGTCCCATTTGAATTTAATTTTGTCTTAAACACCCACTTGCATCCAACAACATGCATTCCTTCTTCATAAGGCACAAGCTCCCAAGTTTTATTTCTCAAAAGTGCCTCATATTTAGTAGTCATGGCTTGTTTCCATTCAGGGGTTTGTAAAGCTTCAGAGACTGATTTTGGCTTCTTTAATATGGGACAAGTAGACAAGAAAGTCTGATATGAACGATGAGGTTTAGAACTAGTCTTAGATCTGGTAAGCATTGGATGGCTATTTGTAGCTGAGGTAGAGGGACAACAAGGAGGTACTAATTCCAACTGTATACCAGCGATACCTTACGGATGAGTTACTGCCAGAGGGACAGCAATGTGATTTTATTTTTCCTGATGTGGCAGATAGGACCTGAAGCATTAATGTAGTCTTTATCACTCATCAAAATAGGAATTGAATTTTCACACTGAGGAGCTTTAGTTGATCTGTCAAACTGGGAAGCTTCAGGTATATTAACATTGTTTTGTGCTTGCTGCCTTGTCAAACTAGGAACAGATTCTTCAAATTGAATAGCTCTAGTTGAACTTTCAAGCTGAGGAGCTGTAGACATATCGACATTGAGTTGGTCTGTTTGCTGTATGGAAGTAGAAATTGAAGTATTAACCAAAGGAGATGCACCAGGTTGAGTTTCTTATAGACTATGCTGAGAATATGCCATAGAGGAAGAGGAAATAATATTAGACTCTGGAATCATAGGATCTGTTTGAAAACTTGCAGGAGAAGAAGAATTAGGAACAATATTCATAAGAGTAAGGTCATGCGCAAATTGTGGAAGACACCAAAGATTAACATTATCACAATATGAGACCTCAGTAGGTTGAACATAATCTGCACTACTCCCTATATGAAAACCAGACTTAAATGGGAAATCTTCTTCATTAAACCTTACTTGCTTGGCAATATACATCCTATCGGATGATTATAAACACTGATATCCCTTGTGTGCTAAACTATAGCCAATGAGGGCTCATTTTTCTGTATGAAAAGACAACTTATTTTTCTAAAAGGGTTGAAGATATGGATAGCGGCTACATCCAAATACCTTAAGTTTTTTTATAATTGGGTTCTTGATGAAACAAAACATAACAAGGTGATACAAACTCTAGTGCAATGGATGGTAATCTGTTTAAGAGATATGTGGCTGTGCTAAAGGTAGCTTACCAATACTTCAATGGCATACCAGCATGAGCCAAAAGAGATAACTCATATTCATTAATAGCCCTATGTTTTCGTTCCACTCAACCATTTTGACATGAATGTCAAAACATAATACCATGATGTTGTAAGTATCCAATAAAGGACTTGAATTCTCCACCCCAATCGGTTTGCAAGCACTTCATTTTTACACCTAGCTGTCTCTCTATGAAGCTATGAAACTGCACAAACATAGTGTATGCTTCTGATTTTTGTCCCAAAGGATAAATCCAAGTTTACCTACTAAAGTTATCAACAAAAATAATGTAGTACTTATAACCCTCATGTGAAAGAAGTGGAGCAGGTCCCCAAAGATCATAGTGGACTATATCTAATGAAGTTGCTGCTCTGGAGGAAGAAAAGGGAAAAGTACATTGCTGTAATTTACCATACTGACAAGCCTTAGAGGAAAACCTTTTATGGCTAGAAAGTGAGTTCTTTACATTCAATTTATTCAGTACAACATGAAGAATCTTAACATTTGGATGTCCTAATCTTGCATGCCATAACATGGAAGAATTCAAAGATACATTGTAGCTATTACATTAAGAACTAATACTGGATTTAGAGGTACTAGAAATAGTAGTGGTAAAAGCTTGAAGTCCTTTTGAATCAAAAACACAACTTTCAAATATAGCTTGCTCAGCACCAAAATGCTTAGCGAGATGACCTACACCAGTTGCAGAGCTGGTAGTAACAGGTTGAGCTGCTTGTGACGAAGTAAATGAGGTAGGTGTAGTTGAGAGTTTATATTGCAAAGAGATAGTGTTAGTGTATGCCCTAGGAACCAATCGTGTCGTCGGTTCCAAGGCATTATGTTTTGTATATATATGTTAATATATATATTTTGTATATACATTTTATCTTATCAATAGAAGAAAGTGTTCTTATTTCACATGTGGTTTATTGCTTCATTTATATATATGTATTACATGTGAAATGTCCGGATGATACAAATCTTTAGAAGATCAAAATCATCAAAGTATTCCCTACATAGGTAACATTAATTAGGCAATAATATTACATAGTAGGCATGTTGAATGCCTTCGTAGAATATCATATGATGGTATTAGTATGGGTGATTATAAAAGTTATATCACTAGGGCATTAGCATGGATAAGCGGTTAGTGAACTGTTTATCGAATATGGCCATTTATGATGAATCAGATGGACATTTAAAATGAAGTCAATGATTTATCATAAGATCATACTAATGTAATCCTTAGACATGAGATATCACGGTTGGATTTTGCATAAATGCATATGGTTCATATGGTGTATAAACACGAGGCTAATCATGCCATGTGTTAATAAGCCGATTTGGCCATATGTTGTTTGTGTGTGAGGATAAGTGATAGTGAAGATGTGATATGTTGACTTGGTATAGATTGATATCAAGTTCCTCGACAAATGTCAAGATACATTGGAAAAGGGAAATCTTTGGCCGAGGTATATAAAATGTTACTTGAAAGGTTGTTTCATGGTGACACGTTCCATATGTATTGATTGTCAATTTGATATAAAATTAAGATAAGGATTTTGACATACCATGAATCATTTCTTAATTGGGATTAGACAACTAAAGGATTTGATTATACAGAGCGTATGATTATAAAATAGTTCATTGGAGTATATCTTCATTGTGACTTAGGAGTTATGGAGCATTGCTAGATGCCTACCATAATCGGTGGGAGTTTTGTTCATAAAGATTTATGACAAAACATATCGAAATAGACTATGATATTGGACCCACGGCTAGGCCATAGTGAACCTAAGAGGTCACACATAAAAACTAAGGAAATGGAGAATGGAAAAATAGCTAAAGAGAGTTGATCATCCAAGGTTTGCTAGCACCTACCAAGGGTAATAAAGTTATTTATATTATTATCATTGAATTAGATTCAATGGAGGGTTATATTAGTTATTATGAATAATTTAAGAGTTAAATTGCTAATTGGAATTAAATGGAATTCCAATTTATAATTAATCATTTTCTTTATATTAAATTGGATTTAACAATGGGTTGTAATTGTAAACATGTGAACAATTTAAGGGTTAAATTGTTATGTAAACAATTTAAGAGTTAAATTGTTAATTGTGATTAAATGTTAATCCAATGTTATTATTTAAAGTAGTTTAACAACTTCATAATAATTATGGAATTATTTATAACTCCAAAAACAATTATGGAATTGTTTGAGGAAGTCCAAAATAATTATTGAATTGTTTACAAGGCTATATATATGAAGAAAATGATATATCAATTTTAGGGTAGCGATCAAAATTTTTAAGAACCCTAAATGTCTCTCTTGGCCTAATTCTTCTTTTACCTTAGTGTGGATACTATTTTGTTTAATTTCTCTTGAAATTAAAAGTCTCAAAGGTTGCTAAGGACTTGAGGTAATAAGTTATACCTTGTTTTCAATTTGATTGAATTTTTTTTTGCAAAATATGAATATACATGTTATAGTATTACATGCATCATTCTCCATGTATTCCATCTTCAGATAGTACGAGGAAGGTCTAACTGATAAAGACCATCTTTTATTGCTCCTTGTAGAAACACAACTTGGCTGTTTTTATCCTTTGCCAGGCAACGATCAGAGCAAAACTCCAAAATGACATTATTATCTTTAGTTATTTGAGAAATACTTAAAAGAGTCTTAGCAATTTTTTGAACACATAAGATTCTTCTAAGCTGAATAATTCTATGTGAATCATAAGAGGGAACAAGTAGCATACCTGTATGAGTAATAGGTATAGACTCTCCATTGCCCATTTGAACCTTAAAGTTCCTTGGGTAACTGGCTACATGATTTAGGTTGGAGGCATCTGCAGTCATGTGGTGTGACCCACTAGAATCCATGTACCAGAATTATCATGGATAGTTTGTGGAGTCGCAATGGTTGAGTGAAAAGAGTTTACGGAGGCTGATGAGGATGGTGTAGCTAGAATAGTTGGTGATGAGGTATTAGGAAATGGTCCTTTATTTGTATGTATAGGTGAAGTTCCATAGGAGTTTTGATAAATGTCATTAGGAGCATAAGAAGAACCGTGAGTTAGATTAGTAGGAGTAGTAACTGAAGCATTATGAAGACCAATATATGAGTTGCTAAAATAAGTGTTAGGTGAATGGTTGTAAGCAAAAAGAGCAGCAAGTTCATTGGAGTTTCCAGATAGATTGGTTTGTGGGTTGACTAAGGGATTATAGCCAACTGGATGCACTGACTGGTTGTAGGTATGTGAGTTAAACCCCTAATATTCCTAATCGAAATGATGATAGCACTGGAGGGTAGAATGGCCTGTTTTCCCATAGACTTGACATATCAGCTTTGGTTTGAAGTAGTCGCGTCCTCTACCTGTACCTCGTCCTCTACCTGTACCTCTCACCATATTGTTATAGAAGACCTGATGAGGACTAGTAGGATAGGCTTGAGGAAGACCAGCGAAGGAGCTCTAAGATTGCTTCTTAACTGTCCACCATTTCCCAAATTCAAGATTCCTTTTGTCGACTGAGGAAACATTTGAGTTGTAAAACCAACACTACTACCTTGTGGCTAAGAGTAAACTTCATGAGTTTGGTAGTTTAAGGATCTTGTGTTTGCTACGTGTGTGGTATTTGGAAACACAGTCCCTGACGTGTTAGATTGCACATATGGAGAAAAAATGACAAGCCCTTGTTTAGAAGCAATTAGTGTAGAAGTAAATTGCTTATGAAAATAAGTCAATGCACTAGATTGTCTTGCCAGTCTTATTTCATGCTTGTGAAACATAAGCTCAGCTTCTTGAAGTGTTGCATCTTTACTATTGTATGTCAAACTAGGTACCACCACGTCATACTCTGGTCTTAGACCATCAAGTATATATAGTAGCAATTCTTCATCACTAAGATTGACTCCACTATCAACTAATTCATCTCCTAGCTCTTTCATTTTCAAGACATATTCATTAACACTCAAAGATTCCTTCTTTGTGGTTTGTAAAAGATTTCTTAAATGTAATGTCCTAGCCTTTGAAAAGACTGAAAATGAAGATCCAATGTATTCCATATTTTATAAGAGCTAGTGCATTTGGCAACATGCCGAAACATAGACTTTGAGATTGACGAAAACAACCAACTCACTAAAAATTGGTATGTTCTTTTCCAATTGAAATACCTAGGGTTTGGTTTCTTTACTAACCCTTCAGTCTCAACTAATTTCTCAATTAGAAACATAGGGGGACAAATATTCTCACCATTAACGAAGCCATCAAGATCGTGTGAAGCAAGAGCAGGAAGAACTTGGGACCTCCAATATCAATAATTATTCTCTACTAGTTTAACAGAGAGTGTTGGAAGGGAAGAGCGAGCTCCTAAGCCTGATGCGTTTGCATTCCTAATTTGGTCAATCCATCTTCAAGCTGACATTTGAAGTTTCAGGAATCGAATTAGCCATTGACGTTTGTCGAGGCTTTGATACCATGAAGATTCTTGTTTGACCAAAGAAAAATAAAGAACAAGAAACAAAGAAAAGATTCTAGAGAAGACGAGAAAAAATTGTGAATTTCTTCTTCTAATTTTTTTAACTGAAATCTGTTACAAGGTAGCAATGTTTTTATACATTGAATACAGAGTAAAATGCACCGTTTTCCACTAAGTTTTATTCTATTACAAACACAACCCAGAAATATTGGGAGTTCTTCTACCTTCATTCCAATAATCTTTAATCTTAAAGTGAGTATTAATATGTCTCTGAAAATTTGCATGAATAATCTTAATCACATAAGCAGTGAGAGTAAGAGATGAGATTGAAGAAATTTTGGTCAACTTGATGATCATGAGAAGCACTATTTATAGACGGTCAACTCTAATTTTTATACCTGGAGAGTCCTTAAGGAGAGTGATTGACATTCATATCTTAAGAATATAATAATATTTCAGCAGCTAAACTTATCTTAAGAAATAGAAATAATTAAAAGCAGAGGGGTGGGGAGCACGCGGAAATTAATGTTTGACATGAGAGACATTGTGATTGAAAGGTGGCATGCAAACATTGGGCAGAAACCTAGAAAAAGGACCCACCAATAATGCCATTATAAAATATAGTTTTTATTAATTACTCTGAAATCTTTGTTGGGATAAATAATAATGGGTTTATCCAACGTATATAATACAAAATAGAGTCACACCACACCACCCAAGAAATTTGGTAGTGGCTGTACATGTGCTGCAATATTGGTTAACTTGTTACGGGTGCATCAAAAAAATAAGATTATAGAAGATTATACTATATCATCTTAATTCAGAGATTCATGAAACGGACGTTAGTTTATTTTTCCCTAATGTCATAATCGCAGTTTGATAAAAATAACAACATATGGAACAGTAGAAGATGGGTTGAAAAGAGGGAGAAGTCAACTGGATCCAATTGGGTTGGGAGTAATAATTAATAATAAGAAAATGGGCAGCTAGAACTAGGTTGCATTATGAATCTTGTTAATGCACCTCATTGGTCCATTTTGATATTTGTATCCCACTTTCTTCTCTCCATTTCTGTGGAAAAGGAAAAACTCATAATCCAAAGATCTACCTACCTACCATGGAGAGGAGAAAACAGGAGAGAATACCCCACACGCCACGCTACCTTAATTAACATATGTATATGAATTATGACAGTGCATCAAATAATTTATTCATAGTGCTTCCATCTCCATGCATATGCATATTCCATATTCCTCCATTATAAAATTCAAGATGCTTCACTAAGTTGAACCTTTAAACTTTGTTTAATTGCATGTCCTTGTTCCACACTGTTATATCATAATTAAAACAATTAAAAATCTCTAGTGTTTGCTTATACATATAATATATTTGAACTGTAAAAAGTAGGGAAAAGATGTTGGGCCTTTGACAAGACAAGGCCCAAGGTACAACTCAGATCTCGATCGTGTAGTTAAACCCGGCCACGACTTCCATGGCACCTATGTTTTCGGAATTGGTTTTGTTTCTGGACATTCTGATATTTTCACCTTCACGCTCAATGTTGTTCATATGCTGTATGAATTCAGAGGATTTTTGTTTCAGAATTGGCTGATGCATGTTTATACATTGTTGTTCACTTCAAATGGAATGGAATGTACTGTTCAGGATATTTGAATTGAACATTTACTGAAAATTCATTTTGAGTTCTTTCCAAGCAATCCTTACATCAAAGAACAAATCATTCTAATATGGCTGTCCAAATCATATGTCCCGAAAAAATTAAAAAATGAATAGGAAGCTCTTACAATTTAACAATAGGTTATTGGAATTGCCCCCAGAAAATGGAAGAAACTAGTCCTGTCTTTGTTAGTTGCTTTATTGCTGCTTGTTCTGCAGACGCTCTTTCCTGAGAGCCGTGAATTTAGCTGCTATATCATCATAGTCTGGCAACTTTGGATGGACATGTTCAGGATATTCGCAAGGTAATGAATTGCTCCGCACAATGTTGGTTGTAGGCCTCTCTGTAGGCATTGACTTCACGGTCAAATAAGAGGCCTCTGGTATTTTTGTAGTGGGCTTGGAAGATAAGCTATTGGAATCAGCACATCCACCTGGAGAATCAGCTTTTGCTTTAGTATTTTGAACCTGTTCATTTTGCCAGCGGTCTTGGTGGTAGGTGAAAATATTATACTCAGTTGCACCATTGTCAGAGGTTCTTCTCCTTGACTTTTGATGAAGAGCAGGCCTTTCTATTTCTTCTGATTTTCTATGATGAGAGAAGTGGCACTGGCCTAAATGATCACCAAAATTTGCACTTTTCAGATCATAAATTGCCACCTTCACTGGTTTTATGGCTCCTGTCTGCAACTTACTACGTGGAATTTCCCATTCTTTGTCATCACCAATACAAAAATAACTTGAATGTTCCAAACTGCAGTCATCCCTTTCGCAGTTTAAATGACAATGACCCAATTTCATTTGGTCATAGTTGTTGTAATTGAATGATTGAAACTTTCTTCCCACATCTTTGCAAAATGCCTGCTTAAGTCCCTCCTGTCCATAACATGATCGCGTGCTTTCTTCTACTGAGGTCTTCCTCTGATGCTCTTTCCGATGATGAGATCTGTGCTTGCTACTAGAACTCTTGCGCGGCTTATCATAGTAAGCTTTACATTCTGTATCCTTTATGTTAGAGTTTTCTAGAGAGAATGATCTCCTCCTTGATTGTTTCCTAGTTGTCTTTGCACTCTTTCTAGAACTCCTTGAACTTGAATTTTCACTCCATGTGTCATACTGATCTATATAACTTTCTACTGTTTTTGTCTTTGGCTGGACAGATGGTTTGAACTTGAACAATCTTTGGTCCTGCCAGTCTCCATCTTTTGGCGTGGAAGTCTGAAGCTCCTCTATGTCATCAAGATAGACTACCTTTTCCTCGTCAAACTCAGACAAACTTTCTGAAGAAGATGCTGCAATTATTCTCTCCTCCCTGTGTTCTTTAGGGTCAGCACTAATCCTGCCACTGCTGTGCGTTTGTTTACCAAGATCAACTGCAACTCTGAATTCAAATGGAGAATCAAATTGGGCAAAATCTCCCACTTTCCCTGCATTTTTATGCTCCGGCAACTCAAACATATCTGGCGAAGATTTCTGAACGATGGAAGAACTAAGGGAAGCACCATTTGCATCAGAATTTCGGTGGGAGTGAGATTGATTTAGTCCGGTTGATTTGGTCTCCCTAGTTAACTCTGAATCAACTTGTAAGTCATGTATCTTGTTTGCATCTGAACTTTCATTTCCTTCCACCTGTGGATACATGACATAAAAGATGTGAACATTCTTGTTTAGAACATCAAACATTTATTTCAACCCAAACTATAGAAGTAAAATTATTACCTGTACCAGATCAGAAGTATATTCAATGGCCAAAATCCCAGGTTGGCAGCAGTGATCCTTAACTATTTCATCCATCAATTTGTGCTTTACATAATCGGGAACCGAATTTATGCAGAGTTTTTCTTTTATCTGAAGAAACATGGTTATTAAATTTGCATTAGTAAAACATCCCAATAAAAAGAAAAAATCAATTTATAAAGAAACAGAAACAACTATTAGAACTACTTTAAGTTATAAAACACTATATCTCACAACCTGACAATTCACAAGATTTCCCGAAAATAGTTCAGCCGAAGCCAATGCAAATCTCTGACCATAGCGCTCTTCAAAGAGCTTCCGTATCTTACAAAGCTCGGGAAGATCACCACATCTTGAGGAGGCATATATAAGAGTTGAAACTGCTTCATTGATATCATTCGGGCAGTCCCTGAAAATATATTGCTCCTTTTAGTTCATTTAAGGCCATATATGGCAAGAGTAAGAAAATACTTTAAAGCTTAGAAATGCTTTAATTGTCCATACTTGTTTTTGCGGATATATGACAAGTTACTTCGAATGAATTCGCAGAAATTGTCCAGCAACTCATATACGGCCATTCTGCTCTCCTCTTTAAAGAGCTGCTCAGCCTGAAAAATGAGATTAAGGATCAAATTAAGTTTGGTACAGAATAGTCATGTTGAGTACAAACTATTAAGATTTTTTTGTAAGATTTCACAGACAAAAAAAGAAAAAAAATGAAAGAAACAAGTTCCTGTTAAGGATAGAATTCAAACTCGGGATTGCAATAAAACGTACCAAGTTGAAGGCTTTTTCTTCATCGCCATTTTGGATGAGCTGAGCCATGTCCTCGCGTATAAATCTCACAATCGAACTTTTCTTGTTCTTCAGCAGCTTGAGACGGTACTGGAGCTGCTTAATTAGCTTCTTACTGCAAAAACAAAACATTTACGCATGCAAACATAATAATAAGAACATGACACCCCATAAATCATAAATCACAGCCAAAATTCTCGAACTTATATTAAGTTCACCATTTAGAAGCTCTTCGCCACCCAAACAAGATGCAAAACATGGTGGAAACTTCACGTCACTTGTTGGGCTGTTCCAAGACTATGAAGAGCTGAAACAAGTTTCCGCAAGGAGACAACCCTGACAGTTAAAGCTGGTAATGACGATTTACATGGACCAAAAAGTAGAGGAAAGAAAAAGAGAGAGACAACAAATATTGTACTTTAACGGGTAAAAAACGAAAGAGAAGAAGAATAAAAAGGGGAAAAAGGTCAAGGGCAAGTGAAGCAAAAGACAGTTGGGTTTACTTGTGAAATTTGGTGGGTATTATTTTTAGGAGGAGTGGGTATGATAAGAGGGAAGAGAGTGGTACGAGATAGTTCTGGTTTTTATTCCGAGAACTTCTCCACTACACGGTAGTTACCAGGACAGTTGTCAAAAACCAAGCTCTTAAAAGAATGTTTTTCTGTTGTGACAGGCTCCTTGGTTCCTGTTTCTTCAGCCTCAAGCTTCTGATACACTCAAATTCTCATAGTTAATTCAAACACTTGAATAAATTAGTATTACAAAAACTCTTGAATTGTTAAAATCTAAAAGCCATAATTTTACCTTTATATGGCAAAGTAAAAAAGAGAACTAAATCAAACAGACTTCTAATATTCTTAAGTACATCCTAAAGTAAAAGACTTCGATTGTAGCATTTGACATCACTTACATGTCAATTAATAGGTTTATTATTATATATTTAGTAAGCGGTTCTGATGATAACCATCTTACATAGAATTATAGCATTATCAGGCCCACAAATTAAGCTTTGAGGTCTGAGCTGATAAATACCTCCAGGTTGGTTGTTTGATGTGAGGAAATTCAAGATAAGCACAAAAATTAGCGGAATCTTTTCAAATGGATAACAATGATCCTTAATTCACACGCACTGACCTTCTCATGATATGCTCTTGTCTCATAAAGTGAAATATAACAAACAGAAGAACAAGTGCTTCAAGAAACAAATGACTGCGTGGTTGTTAGCACATGCCACTGTAGTCAAAGGAATTGGTAATCAAACCCACATCTCTCTGTTTCTATAATACAAATATGTGGGCTGGTGACCAACTGACTTTGGCATGCAAATGCGCAGACGTAAGGTGGGGTCTTTGCTTGAGCATGGCGGTAAAGTTTAGCTGCTAATGATGGTGACCACTGGCTCATGAATTCACTCACTCTCTCATCATTTTATATTCTCGCTTTCTCGAGCAACAATAAGAGAATATATGTGTAATCATTGGTTCATCTTTACGTTGTATCTTCTTCTTAAGGTACTGCCCGAGGGCATGTCGTTAATTAACATTTAGCAACTTGGTTACCAATCCGCAGGATGTGGATTTGGTTAGGTGCCTGTAATTTGAAAAAGGCGTTGCCAATAATTCTTTTCCCTTATCCATAAGGACGGGAATCAATTCTTAATCTTTAGCCCTCTTGAGACTTCACCAGGAAGCTAGTTGATACTGATGTTCCTAAAGCCAATACCGCAAACTGTTATTCAAAATCATCGGCCACAATTACTAATGGGCTTGTCTATTAGAGATAATGAAGTTTTGTGTTTGTGTCTCCATGAGTGGCTCCAATTTCCACGTCTTTCACATATCAGATTAATTTGCCAAAATACGATATGCAAATCAGATATTTGTAGGGGTATTTTTCAATAAGAAATGCGAGCCTTAAACCAGTGGACACTAGCAACCAGAATATTCAACATCATTAAGCTCCAACATAAAATCTTTATTGCACATATACGGGACACACGCCTTTCTATGATAAATTTTAGTTAATTCCTGAGCCAGAGACACTATCGATCCCCAAAATTTTAATTTAGAGCACTATGACTAAAGTTCAACATAAGATCTGGCTATTATATAGCATGCTCAAGTGGGCTGATTGTTACCTTTCCTACATCACATCTTAGCAATAAAATATAGCTAGAATTATGAATGTAATTAAGCATTTCTAGTCTATTATCACAAACGGTAACAGGTACAGGTTGGTTCTGTCTTCTAATCACATGAAACTTAGAATACTTAATATGAGAAAAAAATAAAAAAAATAAAAAAAAAAATTCAAAACTCAACCAAGAACACATCTAGATCTGTATATAAAAGTTTCAGTACTTTTTCATTATATGCCATAAGAACAAAATCTGATCTTGATTTCTTAGAATTGAAAGAAGTGGGCGCCCAATGCTAATCCTCTCGCAGAAAAGAATGATGATTTTAATATATAGTGAGTGATCAGGAAAGAAAAGTTGGTGATGGATGGTTTGAATTGATTAAAATGATACATCATAATCATATTTAGAGGATAAGATATTAATTGGCTTGTCTGGCGCCAAGCTATCAACAACCAAAGAGCAGTGAATACTAGCTACAACTTCTCTCAATGGAAACGATCCAAGCACAACAACAACAGGTGCTTTTATCGTAACCAACAAAGGGATTTTTCCTGCTTTCTTATCTGCCATTAGAGATTCTTGAAGCGCTGAACCAACCTCTGTCTGCCCCCGCAATCCAACCGAGAATGTGGTTATATTATCGTTGGGTTGACTGAATGCAGGAAGTTTGCCTGAACAAAGAGTTGTCCCTTTATAATTAACTATTACCGAGCTGTCTTTGCCATATTTGAAACCTATATGGCTATTAGGATTATCAGCTTTAACAAATGCGGTTACTTCAGTATTGAGGCTAAAATCCAGAAGGATTTTGAAGGAATTCACCTGAAAATTCTCAATATTGTATATAGGAACCTCAGGTTTAAAGCTGGCATAAAGAATATACGCGACAATGGTGAGAATGACGATTAAAGAGAAGAGGCAGCAGTAACAACAACATATACATTTAAGGCAACCATTTCCACTACTTGAACTCTGAAGGCTCGGATGTTGAGAATTGTACCGAGGTGGATTTCTCCGTTGAGGAGGTGGTCTTAAGTTACCCGTGGTTTGCTCATTGTTGAGCATGACATATTTTGGATGATATGGGGGTGGGTCGTTAGATGCCTGAACGTTGTCCTTATTGTAGCCATAGTCCATTAAACAAATTCAACAAGAAACAATGGTCCTTCTCTCTTCTTCCTCTGCGCCAGTATCTTAGGGGGAGAGGCGAAAGGTGAAAAAGGATGAATAATCCTAATCAGCGGCTTGGTTCCATTGTTCAAGGACAATTTTAATTATGTGTGGACACGAATTTAACTAAGTTTTAGCTGTCAACCGCTTTTTCTGGGTTTCAAACTGATATCTACTATTATTTTGATTTTCTATTTTAGTCATGCACAGACCTCTTGACCTTCTTTCTGTTTTTGGTCGTCTAATGTACAAGTATATGTTAGCTAGGCAAACAAAATGCTATTTTTATTTCAGGAAGATTGACCATTTTCTTTTTTCTGTTCTGTCCTGATCAATTTACTTCATGTTTGCTGAATATCAATAACATAGAGAATGAAATATATATAAGAACAGATTAGCCAAATTCTTTCTATAGATAATACGATTAAAGAGCCAGAGCAATATAATATAATTAAGATCCTCTTTTCTCCTCAAATCATCGTCTGAGATCACTTCAAGCTACTTTTATTCACCTCATATTATTTACAAGAAAACAAAACGAACTAAAAGCCAAGTAAGCCAAGTGTGTTAGGAGAAAACCCTGCCTTATTAAATCAAAACCCAGTTAGAAAATTCAACATAACTTGCTAACCATAGTTGGAGAAGAGGCGTCTATTGCGGCTCTACAATTGCAAGATCTTAAAGAATCCATACTCATAAAGGCCACCACCGAGACCGCCATTGCCTTCATCGTAATCACAGCCTTCTTTAACTTGCTTGACCCAGAATTTGACTGTCCCAAGTTTTCACTCGATAACGTGTATGATTTCAGAAAAATTTGCCTTTGCTTAGCTCTGGTACGTCTATAACTAAAGGACTTCACCATGCTGTAATTAGGGTCCTTTCTTCTCTTTGAAAAATTTCTCCGCCATTGATAATCATGATCAGAAGTATCTTCAAAAGGGCGCTGGTCCAGTGGCTCGTAACCATTGAATCTCCTGCTAATGGAGGTGGGGTTGCGGACCAGAGTGTTCATGGTTGTGAGCAAAGAGAGCTACAGAATGGAGATGACTTTATGCTTTTATTTAAGCAAAGTGAGACCACTATATTTTCATATTTGGTGGGCGCATTGTACATAAACTCTGAAGTCAACTAATTAATCAAAGTTATGCGTTAGACATTGACACCCTTAAAGGGGAATGCACTATACCTAACCATAGCTGGTTTGATATTAGCCTTGTGATGAAGGGTTGGTAAGATCGATCAAAACTGTTGTTAGATTAGGATCCAGTTCAATCAAAATTGAATAGTTTAATAAATTTCCATGAAGTAAAAACACGAAGCGTTAGGTCGATGAGATCATAAATTAAGTTCAATTTGTCTTAATTGTTTAGTTTGATTTGCATTGAATATTGAATAATTTTAGAAAATGTGTATTTTAAATAAAATTCAAAACGGTTTTGTCGATTATAGGGAGCACGCATGGCGGCTTGGCTTGAAGCACTGTCACCTACCAGGTTTAAGACTAAAGGGATTAAGAAATTGAGTACAAGTATTAAGGACCAACCACGTACTCTAAAGTCTCTAATAAACCATTATTGACCTTTGACTAACAAATCGTGCAGAGTCAGCATGAATTGAAATGCTATGTTTTTTCCCCTTAATTAATCACACCTGAAAAGAACAAATATTATTTTTATTTGGAAGATTTTTTTAAGTTTTAATCTGTGAGAAATGCAGCAGGCTAAGTCTGACCAAAAGATGTGAGTGTGAAATACATATACATGGTTAGGTAAGATTTATGAATAATGTTTAATGGCAGTCGCTCTTGATACACTCACCCAAATAAGTACTTTTAATTAATTAATTTTTAGTATTCTTATTGTGGTAAAATATATCGATTCATTAAATATGATAATGAGTATTTTTTATTATTGTAAATCTTTGTTTAAAATATGCATCTTAAGTTTCCACTCCCATTTTTTGTTCAAAATAAATATATGATATTAATTTAGATATTATATTATTTAGAATATAATCCACATGGTTTTTATTTAAAAAATAAAAAAGAATGAAGTTGAACACAAGTTCATTAATAACACTGAAACGTAATTAACAACAACAAGATCAGGCAACTTTGATTGAAAACTACAAACTATCATGAAGACCCTCAATTCCCAATAGTTAATTCTAAACTAATAAACTCATCTATTTAAAATTCATTCAATTAAGTGATGTGAACCATAATAAAACATTTTTTTTTTGTAGGATAATTGATGGTCACCTTTTGACCTTGTTATAACTTGAACTCAAGACCCATTGGTCTTTTAACTTTTCAATCCACCGTTCACTTCATGAGACGGTTAATAAAACCCTTAACAAGTGGTCAAAGAATAAAAAAATTATTTGTCATCAATTTCTGTAACATGAACTTTCCCCCGTGTAATCCAAATTAATTTGGTAAAATAGACGAGAAGTTGGCCAATACTTGGCACATTGTATAAAATTTGGCGAATGGCGTTTCAATTAATATGGAAGAGAAATGTGCTTGGACATTAATCAAAACTCAAAAGAAAGAGGGGTTCAGGGGTGGTCCAACAAGCTACAAGTACATGAACCAGTGGACATTAATGGCAATCACATTAGACCCACACTCCCTATACATTAATTATTAAGTAATAAAGACCAAGAAAAGAAATTTACTAATCCAATCCAATCCAATCCAAAAACCTTTCGCATTTATATCTCTTGCCATAGTTTTTAGTCAGAGTTCACGTAAAAAGAAGCCCTTCTATTCACTAATCTCCTTCCTTCATTCTATCATCCCTGTAATCACAAAGGCAGAAAGGCTACTCCTGTGAGCACTTGTGATCACCCAATCTCCTTATGCATCCTCTTTCATGTGACCTTCCCTTCTCTCACTCCTTACTCCACACTCTTGCCTGTGATTTGCTTCAATACCCCTTCTCCTTTATATATTCATCTTCTTCTGCCTCTACCTTTCATCATCGCCTCTTCTTTTCTCACACATATTACAACCCCACCTTAAGAGAAACAGAAAAAAAGTACAAGAAGAAAAAGAGGAGATCAAAGCATGAAGGGTTCTGTTTGGATTGCTTTATTACTCATTGCTTTCTTCTTTGTTCCTTCTGTAATGTCTTTGAGGCACATTGGCCGGCCACACTCACGTATGACTTGTACATCTTGATTTTCTGTGTTATTTAGTTTCCTCATATTTTGCTATGATATACTTACTATTATTCTTATATTTATTTTGTACTAAACAGATCATGGGCATCATCATTCTGCGCAGTCAATGAAAAAAGATGGAATAGTAACAGAACCGGAGTTGTACTGGGAAAGAGTGCAAGGTGTAATGAAGAGAAAGGTAGCAGAGACGCTACAAATAGCAGGGTCAAGTTTACCAGATTGTTCGCATGCTTGCGGCTCATGTTCACCATGCAGACTAGTTATGGTTAGCTTTGTGTGCGCATCACTTGAAGAAGCTGAGACATGTCCAATGGCTTACAAGTGCATGTGTCATAACAAGTCTTATCCTGTTCCATGATTACTGGTTAACTTAATTTTGTATCATAATTACTGGTAGTGGTAGTATTCCATCTTTTTGGGCTTTGTGGTTTTTCTTTTATCTTCTTCAATTTTACCCTTGTAATGTAGGCGTGGCTTCCTTTGTGTAATCAAAAGAGTTTGATCTTACTTTGTTTTATTCTTATTTCGCCTCTGTTTCTGTTCTTTTAAAAATATCCTCTGCTCATCATTTTAATTAGTGTTAACAAAAATGAATAAAATGAATAAAAAGAAAAAAAGAAATCTATATCCAGTTTAGGTCTTTTTTTTCAACTGGTGAATGGGCTACTTGCTTAAGTTGGACATGTCGGGCTGGCTTACTTGAGTTGGGCCTGAATTGTAATGAAAATAGGGCCAAACTTGATTGAAGTTGAAAGCTTGGCCTTAAGAAGACAAAACAAAGAGATAAAAAGTCGTAAACTAAACAGAATTTACGATGATGGTGAGGCTCAACTGAAACAAACAAAAATACAAGTATCCGTGAGCTACGGTTTAGCCAAGTTTATAGGGAATTTTCTGGTTTCGAAATCATTGAACAGAGAGAGAGACAAATCAACCCTTCTAAACTCCAACCAAGAATAAACTAATACTCTTTCTATTCTAAAATCTAATCTTAACAAAAATGCCATCTTCTCCATCTTCACCTCCTTCTTCTTCAACCTTATTCACTTCTTTGCCTCCCACTTCTGGACCTCTGGTCCCACCAATCTGCCCCAGTGGAACCCATTTTTTTCTTTACATCATCACCATCATAACTAATATGTTTTCCTTTCAACACCCGTAAAAGGTATTTTTTTTCATCCATTTTCTCTTTAAGGCTTTGTGTGTCTATATTTGTCTTGTGTGTTTGTGGGTATGCAATTTTTGTCTTGTTTGTAAATGTTTTCCAGAGCTGAAGCACCTGCACACTTTTCCCAAAATTTTCTATCTTTTTCATATTACAAACTCTTCACATTATTGGTTTTTTTAATGGATGTAACCTTTTCAAGGTTTGAAGTTTTGCAAAAAGAGTCCCTTGATTGCGCTGCTAATATTTTCTTCTTCATAAAGTCTCGCCTTTTCATCTTCGGGGTACATCTACATTTTATGCCATTAATTATTGCATTTCTTATGAAATGATGAGTAGTTGAATAATGTGTAGAGAGCATGAGCAGGCGCCATCATTTTTCACCCATTTCTTCAAGCTTTTTATTATTTGTTCTTTTTGTGCTTTTGCTTTCGGTTAAAAAGACTGAAACAACTTCATGTTTAATTTTTGGCACCCCCCCTCATGAGATTAAGGAAGCGTAGACAATGCTTTCCTTCTTGCTCTTCTCTTCACAGAGTAATTCCTCACCTTCGCATTTGCTCTATTTTTTTTTTTTTTTTTTTTTTTAAAGAAATTATTGCACTGCATTGTTTTTATCTCATGGCGTGTTCCTCATACAAGAGTTGTTCATTGTTTATTGTTATTTTAACAAGAACTGCTCTTGCCGTGTAAGGAGTTTTAAAAAATGTGTTTACTTTCTCTCAAGTGCTCAAGTTATTACGTTAAGTGAGGAATTGTTATGTTCAGAATTTAGATAATTTAATTTAAATTCAGTGAGAAGATCCGTGTATTGTTTTGGCAGCTCAAGCCCCTTGTGTCTAGTCTCCTCTGTTAAGCAATTAATTGATACTAATAGGTGCTTTCGAAATTAAAATGTAGGTTGATGAGGATGAAATCTATTGGAGACAGAAGAAGGATGATGAAGAGTTGGAATGGCCACACAATTCCACTCATGTAATAACGCAGTTAGCTCAATGTTTCAGTAAGTGGAGACTCGTAACACCCTTCTCGGCACTTCTTCTTTAGCTTTAATTTTTCTTCAAAATTAAAATTCTATTACTCCTGTATTTGTATTTGTACCAGCTTTTTATTAAGAATGTTTCTTGGTTGGTTCTAACATGACAAGATAAAAAGCATTAATGTAGTACTTTGGTTTAACCCCATGATTTGAACGTCAATGCATGGCTTGACGACTAGGAATGTGGTTCATTCTCCCAAAATAACATAAGGTGTCACATGTTCTCTTCTTTACACATTAAGGTGTTCGGAGAAGCCACCGGAACGTTATTAGAGTGACAGGTTATCAGCAATTAATGCGATCTGATAGCTCACTAAAGATGTTACACATTGAAAGACACTGGATAAGATATATACTAATGGCGGCACCATTTTTCCTTTAAAGAATAATTTCCTTGATACTTAGTTTCAAGTTACCAGAAAAGAACTGATGCCTCGCGTAAATTTGTTCTATCATGTTGAGCAACAGAAACTCCCAAATTTAACCCATCATATACTCTGTATGGTGAATGAAATGCCTGGCACAAATTTTCCAAATCACTGCAGCTTTTTAATCATATTGTTGAGTGTTCTTGATGCTAAAAATTAAAATCTGTATTTTAAAACCATATGTTGCTTCTTGTTGTTTTGACTCAAACTCAAAAGGCTCCTGTTTTGTCAAGAGTTGGTACAGACTTTAGAATCATGGTAATGGGCACTTTTAAATATGAAATGTGCCAAGTTCAAGGCTGCTCAGCCAATTGTTTAACCATTCAACTTTTCAATTTAAGGTGAATAAACTGAATTATTACCTTTAATGCATGTTCTGTTATCTCACTCATCAGTTTTTGGCAATTGTAGCTAGTGCTATGGTTGGACCACGAGCATGGTTAGGAGGGCTCTTTAATCGCTCAAACAATAAACGTAATGAGAAGTTTATCGACTACACTTTGACTCCTCCTCAGGTAAGAGGAAATGCTCATCAAGGGTCTTCTGCCATCCAGCACTTTCTCCATTGTTGCATCTTTCTCTCTGTCACTCTTACACATATATGATCAGACAAATAACAGTATCTATGCATACAAGTATAAGTTATACTTGTTGATTGCAGCATTTGTTCAATAACATATAACAGTCAATTTACTGAAACCTGTTCAAGTAGAAGTTTGGATTTGCTGATTAAAAGCCAAATCCTTTTGCTGTCTTTTGCTAGGGTGACAGTGTGATGACAACATGCTGAAAGAATTTATGAATATTTTATTTTATTTTTTTTGCAATAATGAAAATCTGAAGTCAAAATTCTAACTAGTGAGATTAATGTGATGTGTTCTATTGTAATTTCATTTTATGGTTTGTTCTTACTATTTGTTTTTTGAATTCTTACTAGGAACAAATACTTCAGAGACTTCAAGAGCGATTACAAACTCCTTTTGACGAGAGTCGCCCTGATCATCAAGTACTTTCTTCATTCTTGTGAGACTTTTTAATTTTCTTAAACTTTTTCTTCCATATTTATCCTGGTGTTGATTTTACTAAACTATAGAAACAAGTACATCACTCAGACTTGGTTAATATGGTGATTTATGACATTTCTATGGATTATCAACACGGCACTTGATCTTTTCAGGCAAATCTTGCACTTTCTTCCCAATGATCTTTAGTATAAGTAAAATAGGGTACCATGAGCTGAATAGGCATAAATTACTATGGAGACAAAAACACACAGTTTTGTATTCTCAATGCTAAATCTCAGCAACAGTTTCCGATGATGCCTGATTGCCTGCACATCTCATGTCTGTTTATATTTATTTTCTCACGCAGTTTCATCGAGGATGTGCATGGTTAGGAGCTCCAGTCTTATCTTATTTACATATCGCTTGTATTAATGTTTTATGCCAAATTAATTAATAGATCTCATTGACCTTTTTAAATGACAGGAATCTCTTAGAGCACTATGGCATATTGCCTTTCCAGATGTAGCTCTGAATGGCCTAATCTCTGAGCAATGGAAAGAAATGGGATGGCAAGGTCCTAATCCATCAACTGACTTTAGGTACATTTTTTGTTAATGTGAAGATATATTATAAAGTGGTTGAAAGCCATTAGAAGGGCAATTTCTCTAATCATCCTTCTTAATGCAAAAAAGAAAAAGAAAATATACATTTTGGAGGCTCATATTATGTGAGCATCAAATTAGAAGGATGAACATTACATGAAAAGCAAGTGATTCCAATGTGTTATTAACAAAGCTCATTTGTTCTATTGAAATGGTATGGTATTGTGTTTTCATATTCTGATGTCACAATAATGTATGAGCATCAAATTAGAGAATGACTGTCTTTAGGAACCTTGAAAACTTGGTTATTTCTGATGTCACAATAATGCATGAGATTAAAAAAGGTATCCAATTGTTTTCTAAAGAATTATAAATTTAAAACTGATTTTAACTTCTCTTATTAGGGGTTGCGGTTTTATTTCTCTTGAAAACTTACTGTTTTTCGCCAGGACTTATCCGGTATGTCTCCTACTCTGTTGTATGGCTACTGTAAGAAATTATATAATTAGTATTTTTTCTTTTCTTTTCATTTTTGCTGAACTCTTGGTATACTATTCTGTTTCTTTTCAGCTGTATGGATGTCTAAATTTTTGCAGAAATGAGTTATCCTTGATACTAATTGTATAAACATTCAAATGAAGGCATCTTTTCGTAGGTTGTTGTGAAAGCAAGATGGGAATCGAGCAACTTGGGAATACCCATTTGCTGTTGCTGGCATTAATGTGTCATTTATGTTGATTCAGATGTTGGATTTATTCTCAGGTTTGTTAACAATTCTTAGTGTCTGGTCACATTCAGTTGTTTGGCCTTTCAGAGTCTGAAAAGTAAGAAGATTCACTGGCAAAGGTGTTTGGTTATTAAATCAATTGTTTTGTCATAGTGGACATGATCTATATTTCATCTATAAATTTGTGTTTTTTCCATTTGTTCCTTAGAGCACCCTCGTTTGCTGAAATTATTTTTTCAATTTGATAAAAATCTTTCTTTATTTCTCTTTGCTGCCATCTAAACTTGTAAACTCTCACATAATGCCTTGTTTATGTAAAACTCAAATGTTTTGATTTAGCAGGCTGCCCAAATATTTGTAATTTTTCTCATAGATATTATTCTTTGAGGCCTGCTATTTTGTACTGTCAACGATAGCAGCACCCAGACAGCAGAAAAGTTTTGAATGTCTTGCTTCCTTTGGACCAATAGTTATCAAGTTTGAA